AGGGGATAAGTCAAAAAAATCAATTTTTTAGTAGTGCCTTAAACGTGTTCGCATTAATTTAGGAAATACATTTATGGTTAGCGGATATATCCTTTTGCCAGCACATGTCATAAGCTAGCAAAAGGGTATGTTCGCTAACCATAAATATATTTCCTGAATTAATGCGAACACGTTTAAGTCTCTACCGAAAAATTGCTTTTTTTGACTTATCCCCTTATGCCTTTTACCCACAGATTTATGGTCTATTCTATAAACAAAGCAGACTTGTTTAAAAAGTGATTTCATATTTTTTTTATTTTGTACATCATATAATATGAGTTTTTTTTGTTATAATAAATAATTTGTTTTAATGCCTTGTAGGTTGAAAATGTGAGCATTGTTACAATGAAAATAGTTTATTGAATTAACAATTAATTTGATGTTAAATTAACATTAATTTTACTAATAATATAAAAAAGTTTTATTTTAAATGAAAAGGGATTTGTAAAATTTACAAAATTTCTATGAATACTACCATTAGGGTTTCATTAATACTACAAAACGTTTTTGTAAACGGAATAGAACTGTTTTTTTGTTGACAAATAATAATAACTATATTTATCAATGCGTTTCTGCATCTGAAAGAGTGTTACTTTTATAAATATAACTAGTGATGTAAAATACCCAGGTATTTACCCAAGTAGGGTATTTACCCGGGTATTTACCCAAATAGGGTATTTATAGGGGTATTTCGATTTAAATCTTGCATAAAAATAGCTTGAAATCAATAAATAGTTTTATTCAATATAGTGAAGTATACTGTAGTAGTACCTACCTTAGATCTTAGATAATATTATTTAAAACTTAGTATATAATTGTAGTTTTGCCGGAAATCGAGATAAACCATTTTTTACCCTTAAAACCCCCCCTCCCACTTCCCAAAGTCAGATCGCCCGTAATTTATTTTTCCTTTCATTTTTATTATATTCTTCTCCTTTTCCAATGGGTTTCATCCTAGTGTTATTTTTTTTTGGTTTTAAAAATTATCGACCCTGGTCTATGTGTGCATTTCAACAATTAAGCGGTTTTCCACGATTAAGTGCATTCAGAGACAATTCTAGTACGTTTATGTTTATATGGTTTAATAGGGAAGTTTAATATTATTTAAAGTATAAATAATAACGCATTTATCAAAAATACCCAGTTTTGGGTAGGTAAATAAAATTTTGGTATTTACCTAGGTATTTACCCAAATTTTATTTACCTACCCACTGGGTATTTACCCTATCTACATCACTAAATATAACGTAAATTTACTTTATAATTAATGCAAATGCTATTACTAAAAGCAGCGTTTGTAGATAAATAATTTTTATAAAAAAGATCTTTTGCTGTAACAAAAGCAATTGTTGGACGAATATGGATATTTACTTTATTAAGACAAACTACTTTTTTTGTTATATTTATAAAAAAAAATTCTGGATACTTTTTTTTACATTAAATAAATTGCAAACTTCTTGTTGTGTTCTAGTTTTATTGCCACATCCTATGAGAATTAAAACTTTTTATAAAAACTATAAAACATCAAAACATTATTAAAAACTATAAACTTGCTTGTACCAAATTCACAGGAATAAGTTATAAAGGATTTTTGGTTTTACAGGTTTTCAGTTTTTTTTAAGGGTCTCCAATACAAAGAAGGATACTTGGTGCACCTTGTATAATAAAAAAAACACTGAAAAAAATATAATCTGGTTTATGTTTAAACATTTTGTAGACCTATGTTATGTATTATTCAATATATTTTGTGAAAAACCATTCAAGAATTTAAGAGGATTTAAGATTGAAGATGAAAAAATAAGAAGATTAAAAAAATACAAAATATTAATCCCAAGGAATTTATAACCAATAAAATTCGGCTGCATTAAGTAATAAATAATGAACTAAAATGTAAAAATTAAGGCGCATTTAGTAATGTGTACAAATTTTGTTTAAATAACATGTGTTCAAAGATGAAATAGAAACCGCAGACAAATGTATACAATATCTTGTTACGGTAAATACAAACATAATTAATGGAAAAACTACACCTTTAAAAATACAGTCTTTAATTGTGAACCATTTATGTAAACTTGTCAAAATAAAATCCTTAGACAAGGCAAGCAAATTTATCAAATTTTTTCTCGAAACAAGACAATAATTTCTATCCAGGTGTATAAAATGCATTTTATCTATGTCCTATATCTGTGGAACAGATAGAAATTTGATTTATCAATCGATTCTTGCTAACGCGCTTTCTACATTGCGAACGTCTAGTTGGCCTTGTTTCTCGTCTGCTCGGCAGTCTAGCCACCCCAGATTCTCGTCAAAAATCCTTGCAAGTTACCTCGAAAAATCTATACTTTATTCAGACATTTTTAAAGCCTTATAGACAACTTCGTAATTTATCTGACACTGTTAAAAAAACGTATAAAAATAATGTTTTTATTTTGAAAATTTTTAACCAGGATTTATTTAGACATTTTTAAAGCCTTATAGACAATTTCGTAATTTATCTGACACCGTTATAAAAACGTATAAAAATAATGTTTTTATTTTGAAAAATTTTAACCAGGTTTTTTATTATTTTAACAAAGGAAGATAATATGCAATTTTGTTAGCATTTTGTTAATTTTAAAGGTTACAGATTGTTTTTTTAATGATTAACAAATTATTTCGTTAAAAAAGTACACGTGATTTCAGGCGGTCAATCAAAACATTTCCCACTGACAATACGCATCAACAAGTTCAACTGACTTCAGCGTCTGCAACTTATGTTTCTGCTTACTTTATTCTAACTCGTAACGTGTTAGTAACAACTGTTCAGAATTTTTAAAATATATTACCGGAAATCTGTTATTATTTTTATTCGGATTCATTTAACCTATTTAACGAATGTGCAAAAAAGATGAAATCACTAAAATTAGGGGATACAGTGAAGTGGGTTAATGTTACGAAATACATCAGTGTTGCAGTAGTACTGATAATTATATTATACCAAATTTCTTTATAATTTGATGATTTTAGAATGATGTGTTTTTTTATTTAATTTTACAATTTCCAACCAATACTTTTGTTAATGGGTCAAAAAAGGTTTGTAAAGTTCATTTTTTTTATCTGGACTGCGGCAACGTTGCAAATTTAGGGTTTTGGTTGGTAAATACAGTTGTCAAGTTGGTCGCATTGATTAAAACAAACTAAGCTAGTTATAAATCTAATTGTGGTTATGTATAAATTATTGTAGGTTACATTGTGTAGTTGTCAAATTGAGTTGTCGAAATTCGTAGTTAAAATGCAATTAATTTGGCTTTGGTGGTGCTTGGGTGGAGTAAAATCATATAAAAAAGTAGTTAAATATAGGTTGCTTTACGGCCCAGAAGAGAAAGTATTCCTAGCGGATAATAATCTTCGCTTTGAAAAGAATTTATATAAAAGAAATTAAATTTTTTTGTGAACGTAAATGTTGTCCAATGGTGAATAATGTGAAAATAATGTGTGATGTAATATTTATAAAAACAAATTCGTTACTTTTTTACTCCAAAAATGTCCATAAGGCGATGTACTTTTTCTTCCATTGTGGCATTTGGCATAATTTCATCAAAAGGGGTTTTACATTCGAATTCGTTGCTATTATTTTTGGCATAATTATCTTTTTATTTACTTAAGTAAATTATCAATAATAAATATTATTGTCAATTTGACAGTGTCCAAGTATTTAATTAAATTCTTTAGCAGAAGAACCATTTTTAAATACTAAAAATACTAAGTCAAACTGGCATAAGCCACCAACCTAACAGAAAAACAAGAGTCCAGATAAAAAAAAATGAACTGTATGTTGTTTACGATTCTTGTGCTTAGGGTTTGTGCTGTTTATACAGTTTAATAATCGTTTTAAACGTTGTAGAATTTTTTTACCATACAGGATGTTCCGAAAATGGTGCACTGTACACAACTACCTTATTTTAACATTTTTAAGCGCACTTTTTATTTTTTATAATTCCTATAAAATTAACTAAAAACTATGTTTAATAATTCTTATAATCATTTTATTATAAACTATTTTTATAAATTTAATCTAATCCACATTGTTTATAATGTTAATGTCAATTATTATTCATTAATTATGGAAATAGTAAAAAAACAATTTTAGAAACCTTAACCAACCGTAAAAAACATTACAAAAAAACTGCGCCACATACAAAAATCCAGACCGTCAACAAACCACCTTTCGCAATATTTTTATTATAATCACTGCCTATTATATGCAGCCTTGTGTTTACATTTTCTATTCCAAAAGATAGGTATCAACAGATGGGAAGGTAGAAACGCCAAAAAAGAAATCTATTTTTACATTCACGCACCATTACAAAATAGTCACGTAGCGTAAACAAATTTCACCAAGGTGGTTCATTCTTTAAATTACCCTGTTGCCAGATTCATTTTTTATTAACATTGTTATCGCAGATAAATAAAAATATAGACTCACAAAACCAACATGACAACATCTCACAGACAAATTGTTCACGAATCTACTTAAAAAATGTATTATTAATCTAAATCCCTGAAATCTAGTCGTATTGCCTAATAGATTTGGCACCGCCGCGTGAACTTCTTGCAATAAACGCCGTGTATACGTGACGCTAGGCATCTATGCCATAATCCCACGTGACTAATACAGTTGGCATTCCAAACATTCCTCTCTTGGCCAGATCAATGATTCAGAAATGGTCCTTTTTATTATGCACGTTTAACAGCCTCTAGCTCCCACATAAACGCATTACTTTTCAGTTACGAGCGGTAATTTTGCATTTTAAGGCGTGGAATTAACGAAATATGCTGTTGCATTGCAATAGTAAGTGCCATGGACCAATAAAAATCATTTGCTTAGCGAAATACGCGATTTTATACAAATAGCATGTGCCATGGACCAATCAGAATCGTTAAATTAACGAAGTACGCGAATTTACGCAAATAGTAGTTGCCATGAACCAATATAAATCATTGATTAGCTGTCAAAGATGTTCAGCTGTTTTTTACTTAATGTTTATTATTAAATGGCGCCAGTTAAATAAAATACAATGTAAAAATGCAAAAAAACAACTTATCCATTAATTATTCAACATTATTGAACACATATAATTTAATATGACCCTGAACGTTAAAATTACATAATTTTATTGAACAAATCTAATAAGACAAAAAATGTACTCACTTTTGCTTGTAGCGAAGGCTCTTGGGGCTCAAATTTGTGTTGAAATGGTCACTTTTCAGCATGATCGAATTGTCTTTACCAGTGTGTGTTGGTGAAATTGTCATTTTCGTACGATATGACACTGATAAAAACAAAGTGCCAATTGGCGTGCACAACTGTCCCACACGAACACTTTTAAAACCCTCACCCAAACTGTGAGTCTCTGGCTCGCCAAAATACAAGCGATAATAAATCATGTAGGAATCAGGCGAAGCCCTTTGAGAGAGTTTATATGCAGGCAACACTCTTGTAACTGACAGTAAAGATTTCAATAACATTCCCATACGATTGTAGACAGTCGGTATGATTCTTGATGTATAATCGGATTGTTCAGGCAATAAACCAAGGCACCACGATTCCAATATCATTTTGTCACCTTCGGGGGTCGTGAGCGATATTTCCACGGACATGGGCAGACGGGCTGCGTAAAAGTCTTGATTTATCGTTTTTTTAGCCTCATCTGTTATCTCTATGCTGTCTTTGACATTCAGGTTAAACTGCAACAGATGAAACTGTCAATTTTTAGCAAATAGGGGGTGCCATGGACCAATGGGAATGATTAATTAAGCGATATAAGCAATTTTAAACAAATAGCAGGTGCCATGGACCAATAAGAATAGCAGTTTTATTAAAATAGTTTAAGCCATGAACCAATAAGAATTGCTGATTAGCTGTCAAAATGTTGCATTGTTTTATGACGTTTTTAGTAGTTTTAGTCACTTTAACTTACTTTACTTACCCAGTCTTGTCCACCTGACGTAGGTTTACACGGTGTTGAATATTTTTCGCCCATACGCGATTGCACGATGATTTGCGTCGACTTTAAAGCCAAAAATTTCGAGAACTTGTCGAGTTCCCTTTTTTCCGCACCGCTCAACTTCATTTTGTTTCATTACAGGCACACCGCACTCGAGATGACAAAAATCGTTTCGAATTAAACAAAAACCACCAAAATACCACAAAATAGAGTAAAATACAGACGCGCTGCTGCCTTCCACACGACCTAGCCAATTCTAGGCGGACGTTGGCGCACTGTTGCCAACCTGAAGAAAATCCCACTTCGAACTGTAAAATTTCAAAATCGAAAAGTTGATATATATAAATAAAGTGGCATAATAAATAAAAACATTCAAATTTTAAAATTTACAATAAATAAGGTTTCTCTTTTGCTAAAAAAAGATAAAAACCGGCCCCTATTTGATTTTTCTTTGCAGAAAATTTACCTTTTGTTGGCAACACTGTGTTACCGAAATGTCATTACGCCACGTCGCACATTTTTTAGCAAACCACGCGTTTTTCATAAAAATCTTTGAAAAATCTCCCATAAATCTATAATAGAAACCTAAACTCATGAATTATAGCAACATAATCAAATAAATTAAGGATTTTAATCGTGTCGCCGAATAATCAGCGCCATCTGTCACATGACTACGCCGGCCATTTTGTATTTACATTTTGACAGAAGCGCGTCGCTTTAAGAAAATATTGTGAATTTCCTCATTTATTTGTTGTTAATCGAGATAGGATTAGAAAATAACTATTTTTAAGATATAATACTCGTTTTTGGTGAAGAGATAGTACGTTTTTTTCGCGAGGTAAGTTGAAAAAAATCTAGCTAAATAATCTTGATTTCGTGAACAATGGCGGACGCCATGTCAAAAGTGAAGTGAATAATTTTTAAGTTAATTGATTATTCGTGGAGTTTGTGGTTATTGTTTGTTTTAAGAAGTTTTAGGTAACACACAATATCAGGGAGTAAATAAATGGGCAGGAATGTTTTATTTGGGCCTGCAATTTATTGTTTTTATTTATAGAGGGGCGTGAGTAATCGAAATTATTGTAATTTTGCTGATTCTACTAGAATAATTCTAGAGTTTTCTATGGTAATATTAACTTTTAACTGAACTGATTAAAATCATTCTTTTAGGGGGGAAATCTGCAATAATTTGGTGTTAAATTTGGGGAAAATATCAAGGTCATCTAAAAGTACATACCAAAACATTTATTCCTATTTTAACTCTTAATCATATACAATTATTACAATTTAAGTGTTTTATAATAGAGATAAAATAATTAAAATGCATTTTATCACTGGTCAACAAAATGGTTCCTCTTTAACAAATATTTAATTGTTTTTAATACTTGGGTGATTTGTCTATCTCGACTAATCAAATTTAAATTATGGAAAACCCTATTTTTATAAACCTGCTATTACTTATTAGGGGGGATTTAACGAATGGACGGAAAGGTTTTAATTGTTTTTGACAATATTTAGGTACTTCATCATACTTTAAAAGGGGTAAATATACAATGTTTAAATGTGTAAAATTTATTAAAATGCATATTTAAAACCAACAAACATTTTGTCAAAATTATGTTTATTTTTTTAACTTCTTTGTTTAAAATTATACCAAATGAGCATTTACTATATAAATATAAAAAATGCATTTTTTCTCTATGGTCATGGTCTTCATATAAACAAAATGTTTTATATACTTAGGTGTTGTAATTAAATAATGGAAAATTGTGTTTTTCTGTTAAATTTAATTCCCAAGTAAGTTTACTACTTTTTACCATTTTAATGTATGGTAAGTCCTTATTTTCCTTACAAATAAAAATTAAGGAAAATAATCATGTTTGATTATTCTATACCTTTTATACCTTTTTGTTTTTAAATAACCTAGGTATAAAAACTACTACAATCTATTTTTAATTTATTTACTTTAACTTTACATCTAGGTAACCTTACAGGTAGTTTCCCTGTAATTATAAGCATATTTTGAGTAATTTCAAGAAGTAGCCTTAATCCTAGCGTAATAAAACCCTAATTAGAAGAGAAAACTAAAAACATTTTCGATTGTGACCGCCTTAAAATCGTCGAGACGCCGAGCAGGAACTTCTTTGTTAAAACTGAGAGATAAGAAATCTATAAGCTTGTTTTTGCTTAATTAACTAGTGGTGAGTGACTTCAACAATTTCCTTATTACATAACCGTTTTATTATTTAATATTCAATAAGTATCTGTTAGAAAGTGTGATGTAATGTAACAAGTCCCATTTTTCTATCTATTGCAAAGGCTTTGGAGAAAGCCAGGATGTTATATGTTTGGGTTTTTTGTCATATACGTTTTCTCAAATATGCGTTATGTGTATAACGACTTTTTGCATAACTGTGTTGCGTAAAACTTAAGGAAATGCTGTATTTGGATATTTTGCAAATAATAAAAGACTTGGTGCCAAATATGCTGGTACCCATATCTGAATAAATAGAATTGATTTTTCAATCTATGGGGGAGTCATTTTTGAAATAATGGCAATGATACACATGCTGGCCAACAGTTGGGTCAGCTGTCCATCAAAAATTGAGCTGAGGAGCAAACATTTTCTACAGGAGATGGTCCAATAAAAAAGATGGCATTTATTTTGTTATAATTGCATTTATTATTATTATTTATACCACATGAATATAACACATTATACACAACATTGGTAAGTATTTCAGAACTTAAATATACTTTTAAATTGGTATGGGCACATTACATGGAAGCAATCTAACAAGTTTTTTTTATTTAAACTAAATTTGTTTAAGATTAGAATGAAAATTGGATAACATTTTTAAGATAAAATTTAAATTAAAAAAAATATGTGCCTAACATTCTTGTGTTTTACATTTTTACTATAAAATTGAAAAATTTTATTTTGTAAAATAGTGAATATTCTTTCTAAACAATTTTTTGATCAGTATAAACCTGATTTAAGAATGAATTGCATTAAAAGTGCATTTTAGGTCATTAGAACAAATAACTGATGGTAAAAAAATACCTAAAATACTTTTTTTTACAAAAATATTTTTGAAATGAAAAATTGAAAAATTATATTTTGTAAAATAGTGAATAACCTTTCTCAACAATTTTTTGATCAGTATAAACCTGATTTAAGAATGAATTGCGTTAAAATGTTTTTTAGATCATTAAAACAAATAGCTGATGGTAAAAAATTATACTTATTAATACTTCTTTTTACAAAAATATTTTTGAAATAAAACATGTTTATTACCATGAAAATTAATTTAAAATGGTCGGTGCATTTTTAAACTATAAAACAGATTTTTTTACCCCCACCTTTAAAAAGCTCATTATTGTACTTTTCATTGACCAGTTGTGACTTTATGGCTTTTTAGTCACGGGATGAAGTTAGCAACAGGTTTTTAGTCACGGGCTGAAGTTAGTTTTAAGATAGGTGACAGTTGTCAGATCTCATACAATTGTTAAAATAATACTAAATATGAAAATTATTTTATTATCTTAAAATTATTAAATAGTTTTTTAATCTTAAAGGTTTATACTGACCTTTTGATTTTGCTGTCAGTAAATTAGTATTTGCCAGTAAAGCAAACAAATGTCAGGTGGTGTCCTCAAAACATCCTCTTCATTTTCATTGTGAAAAACAGCTTCTATATCTAATTTAACCGGTTGTTATTTCATTATCAAGGGAGAAATTCCTTTTTTTGAAAACTAACACTGCCATTTTGAAAGCTGCTAAAACAGGTTTCTAACACCAATTTGGTTGCTCTATTTTTTCATAGATTAAATTTTTAAATTATTTTTTAATTTTAATATTAAAACTAAACTAAAATGCTGTTAATCAAAATTTAAACATAATATACTAGTAAGAATTGAGCCAATTCAATTGAGTAAAAGTTTATGGTAAAAAAATAACCCAAAATACTGATGTACTAATAGTACATTATAGACCAGGCAAAGAAAGGTCATATTATAGTCGAACATATATTTTACAGTAGATTGTATGCGAGGCAATTAATAGGATTTCGCCGCAATGTTTTATATGCTGTTTTTGTAGCATTTGATTAAAATATTTTTTTAAAGATTTTGTCACTTAATTTTTAGGTTATGTTCATCTTTTTTTTATTAGAACAATATAAGTCGAGAAGTTTTTGGTTAGAAGGGTTTAAAATTGATTTTTTTTTCTTAAAACGTTCCAAAAATAAAGTTAGATTTACAAAGTTATAACTACATATATGTAGTTATAACTTTGTAAATCTAATTTTATTTTTGGAACCTTTTTAGAAAAAAAAATATATATTAACGTTTTATTTTTGGAACGTTTTTATAGGAGATAAAAAAACAAAATAACATGTTAAATAAGAAAAAGTAGTTCTTATATTTTGGGTTGTCACAGTTGAAACCACTATGGTTCTAGGTCCTGGCTAACTAGTCATTATTGTGACTTTTTAAAAGTACTTACTAAATGTTATAAAGCACTGTATTTTTTATATTATATTTATGTAATTATGAAATAATGGTTTGCGTCTCGAGTCGCCAGACGAGAGACTTAAATCGTCCGAGTGAGTAATGCGTATAATCTCGAGTATAATACTATACTTTATTTTACTCCAATAAGTATATGTAATTAAATGATTTAAAAAAAAATCTGACATGTCAAATGCCTAACCTCACTTTTTACCAATTTTAAATGTTGTTATACTCGCCTTCTCCCAATTTAAAACCCGATTGGTTCAAATCACAGGGAATATTGAAATCGGCCAATCACTGATGAATAATTAGTACATTATTTCCGTTGTTATACAGGACATTTATAATGATTATCATTATTCACGAAAAAAACAATATTATGCAATAGTATTTAAAAATAGATAACGAACCAATTAAAATGACCAGGAAACTGAAATACGAATAAAATTATAATGCAAAGAAACATAATTATAGCATTAGTTAAAAAGTGGTTTTAATTACAACCCTGCTTATATTTGCCTTTTCTATTCTTACCCAAAAACAATAATTCAGGGGTCTAATATCAAACACATCAAACTCCATCATTTTTTATTCAAATTACATTACATTTATCAAAATTTTCTTGTTGAAATTATTGAGTAAAAATATACGAGTCATTCCAAATAAAAACACCAAAAGGGGTGCACTGCTTGATTTTTTATTTTGATAAAAAAAAATTGAGGATGATCTTTTAGGTATCAAATTTGAAAATCCGTTGCCGTTTTAATTTTTTGATTCTTTACTTTTAATCGGCACCCTTTAGAAATCTGAAATCGTGTCAATTTCTTACTCTCTTATAGTGGGCCAGAACTTTTTTCTGTGACAAAAAAAGTATTTTAATTTTGTTTTACTGTTCAGTAAGTGTGTTTTCGATATATATTATTATTATCCAATTAGTTAATCTCATAAAAGAATGGTAAACCACTAAAGATTCATGATAATTTGACAATTTTTGTGATTTTTGTCTGGCTCCTGTGCCTATTCTACTAAATCTAGAAAGTTTTTTCAGGTATCAAGTACTTATACAATAGAAAACGTAACTATTATTTTACGTTTCATTTTCTCATAAAAATTATTGAAACTTGATAATTCATTATGTTGAGGAAAAAATAAAAATCTGAAACTTTCAGGAAATTTAATCCCCACCTTCATCTTTTCAGACCAGTTAGTCTTGTTTTGTTATTTTTATTCCTGTAAAAGATATATTAATGATTCCCAAACATTTGGGGTTTAAACTAAGAGTTTTGGAATCATTATTTAAAACACAAGTGCTCATTCAAAATG